AATCAGGACGCCTGGGGCAGAACAGCTGGGGTGCTGCCCGGTTGGTCCAGTAGCGCCCAGAGCGGCGCTACGGGACCAACTGGCAGCGCCCCAGCTGCTGTACCACAGGTGTCCGGAGCAAAGCCATGGAGAAGGGGTCGGACCCACTCCTGCACTGCTTTGCTTCCTCTCTCTGGTCTGCTGGAGACCAGGGAGAGGAACGGCCCCGTTCGTAACTGCGGATCCGACATAAGTCGGATCCGCATAACTCGGGGACTGCCTGTACATCAGTTCATTATCACAGGCCTTTTGTGGCTATCTATCACATTTATTATTTCTGTCTGACCTGGTTATTTGGTCTGGTCTCAACCGGTTACTTCAGGTTTTTCTAACTAGTGATGTACCTGCTAAGTTTGAGGGTATTCTTGGAAGTGCCTATACCAGGGGCAGGGAACCTTTGTAGGTTCAGGGTCCACTGACTCTCAAAAAAATCAGTTGGGGGCCATACACAAGTGAGAAGCAAAAAAGAAAACCTAACCCCTCACTAATATTGCCCCCAACTGAGAAGGAGAAAGACATTTCCCTTGCACAAGGAGCCTAGGGGAGCCCAGGCTAGTAGATTTGGTGTGCTTCAGCCTGACAGTGGGGAGACTGAAGTCCCAACACAGGCTCCTCAATGTTGGAGGGAGCCCTGAACCTAGGGGGAAAGATCCGGGCAGGATGGGGACCACATCTAGCCTCCGGGCCTTAGGTTCCCACCCCAGACCTGTACCATAAAAAGTCACTATCTTACCACCATCTAGCTAAGTGAAAGATCCCAGACATATGTAAGTCATCTTTTGCTGTCTGGGTGAAAAGTCCCAGACAAAATACTAACTTTGCTTTAGTTCAACATGTAAGTCTCTTGTGTTACAGTCAAACTGCCAATATAAACCTCCTGTAACTTATTATAACAACATATAATCAAAACCATAAGGAAATAATGTATATACCTATAGGCAAGCAAACAGGGTAGTTCTGTAGGCTACATCCCTCTCAGACCCAGACTCTGCAGTACCCTACCTGGCCGGGAAAATTCTTTACTCTGATGTGCCCTGTTTCCCATAGTTGCCAGATTTAAGAGGTTTAAGTGCAATTGGTAATTTTTCAGCATAGGAACAAGGTTTGTAACATGAAGCTTTCAAACAAACAGCAGAGGTACAGAGGGCCCCAGTTTTGATAAGAACTTATTTGTCACTTAGCCCTGTAAACTTTTTTCTTGCAGTTTGTGTTATATTTTCTCTCTGAAATGAAAACCTTTTAAAACATCTGTTGTCCTTGAAATGTAAAGTTGAAAATAATAGCCAGTAGTTAGCTGCTGCTTGTGAAAGTCAACTAAAGCTGATGGTCATCTTGTTATTGTTGTTAGGATATTGCTGAAAAAATTCAGAGTTCCAAGAAACCATGAATGTAAGTATAATTCTTTTTGCTTGCTTGTTTTGTCTTGCATACAGAGTTTAAATGCACAAAGGCATGATTCTCTGGAGATTGGATAAGATCAGGTACACACACTTCACCATATAGACTAACAGATGTATTGGAGCATAAGCTTTTGTGGGCAGAGACCCACTTCATCAGTGCATCTGACGTAGTGGATCTTTGCTCATGAAAGCTTATGCTCCAATACATCTGTTAGTCTATAAAGTGCCACAGGACTCCTTGTCGCTTTTGTAGATCCAGACTAACACGGCTACCCCTCTGATACTTGACACTTCACCATGTTTCATTACAGGAAAACCTTTGAACCTTTTTGCCATAAAGATCAGTTTTAGTTGTGAAACTGTACCCATTACAGTTTTCTCATCGCAAATGAGAAAAGATTTACAACATTTCTGGCACTAGAAGCATTGACCTAGTTGGTTCACTGCAGATGATTTAGCCTGACAGTTATGATGGTTGAGTATTACTAAATGTTAAATGTTTGCCAAAGAGCTTTAATCTGAGTTTTTCTATAGATGCTTTTCAGTTGGGTCTTCTGGAACGAGAAATCAATGATATACTTCAGCGATTACATCAAGAACACACACTCCCATCAAGAGCAAACGCTCTTTCCAACAAAACAGTACAGAAAGAGGATGATGGATACATTCATCAGAAGGAAATTGATGAAGAGGATGTCTGTCCTATTTGCCAGGAAGAGCTGCTAAAGAAAATGTTTCCCATCACTTATTGCAGGTTAGATATATAAGAGGAAGTTCAGGGTTTGGGAGGGGATTGGGTGCCAAAGGCAGACTCTGGCTGGGAAGTGCTTACCTAAGTAGCTCGGGTATGTCTACACTACCACCCTAGTTCGAACTAGGGTGGTAATGTAGGCAACCGGAGTTGCAAATGAAGCCCGGGATTTGAATTTCCCGGGCTTCATTTGCATAAAGCCGGGCGCCGCCATTTTTAAATGTTCGCTAGTGCGGACTCCGTGCCGCGTGGCAACACGCGGCACGGACTAGGTAGTTCGGACTAGGCTTCCTAGGAGGCTTCCACGGCACGTAGTCCCCACTAGCGGACATTTAAAAATGGCGGCGCCCGGCTTTATGCAAATGAAGCCCGGGAAATTCAAATCCCAGGCTTCATTTGCAACTCCGGTTGCCTACATTACCACCCTAGTTCGAACTAGGGTGGTAGTGTAGACATACCCCTCCTGAGCAGTAGTGCTCTCAAGCTGTCTTTCCCTGCCTGTTAGTAGCCCCCATCTGGCTGTTCCATGTGGTTCTCTGCACTATGTGTGAGTGGGGAAGAGGCTTTATGCACTGTCCAGATCCCCAGCAAAATCTCTCAACTCCTATTGGAAACCAGCCAATAGGAATTGAGATTTTGCTGGGGATGGGGGCAGTGTGTGAAATCTCCCTTTCCCTCTCCCTCCCCAGCCCATCCTGCAGTACAGGGAGCAGCCAGCTGCTTTGAGCGATTCTGCTCCCTGCTGCAGGGGTGGGCCATGGGTTGGATTAAAACGCTTGGTGGGCCAGAGTTTGCTTACCCTGGTATAATCGCTAAGGAAATTGACAAGAAAGCCAGCTCCTAGTTCTCTAGCTAAGCTGCTGCCAGATCTCTACTCTAAGCTGGGCTGCCACCCAAGAAAACCCTTCTGTCCCTAAGGATCCTGGCTTCTCATGTCTTCCTAGAAGCAGCTGTCCAGCCTCTCACTACAGATCTCCCCATAGGAGGCAAGAAAGCCTATGGCGACTGCCCCTCCACTCCTGGCTGAGAGTGTGGAGGTGAGAAGCCTCACACAGCAGTTGGACTCCTATTGCAGACTGCATGGAACTTAGAGCCCTGGCTTTCAGTTTCCCATACTGCCTAGAGCCCTACATGGATACAAAATTTGTATCCACATCTGTGTCAATAAAAATGAACTGTGGATAGCCTCATCTATATCTGTGGATGCAGACACCAGATACAAAGCGGATATGGGCAAATTTGAAGGGTTCTAGATAGAAAATTTTCATCTGCAAAAATGAGCCACAGATATCCACATCCATGTCCACAAAGCAGATATCCACAGATTTCCAGGGTACTAATACTACCCCTCTGATTCTGTGTCAATAAAAATGAACTGTGGATAGCCTCATCTATATCTGTGGATGCAGACACCAGATACAAAGCGGATATGGGCAAATTTGAAGGGTTCTAGATAGAAAATTTTCATCTGCAAAAATGAGCCACAGATATCCACATCCATGTCCACAAAGCAGATATCCACAGATTTCCAGGGTACTAATACTACCCCTCTGATTC